GGTCAAAACAAGAATGTCTTCAGCAGATTCACGTAGATATATCTTGTTGCCTTATTTTTTTTAAAAATCGTTTCATCCCAAACTAACCCATAAAATTTGAAGGTTATTTTTGCGATCACCTGCCAGTATTATTTCATCAGACGTGTCGGACTTTTAAGGTGTAAATAACAAGTGGAGATTGATGGACACGTGCAAGTCTTTGATGAAGATAAGCAGCAGATTAAATGAAAGGATAATTTAAAGAACTATTAAATAAAGCTGAAATACAACAAAGATTTTGTAGAAAACCTGCATGCCGAGTATTACCAAACGAAAAAGATAGAAAATTCAGCGAGTTGAACTCCTGGAGGTTAGCATCAATCATACTACTGGAATGAAAAATGGTTCTTTAAGATGGTTAATTTGATTCATAACTTTCTAGGCCATAAAACTGTAGTCTGTGCTCTATCGTTAATCTATATGGTAAAAATGGCTTCCAAAGTATTAATTTGTACATCTTAAAGAAGACCACCCTATATCAGACGCTATAACAGATATTTTTTTTCTTATGGTCACATAACGTAGATACACCAATTCTCATGCGATTGCCAAAGGCAACGAAAGACGGTACCTAAACTGGTGACCGCTAGTTTGGATGTACGGGTGTGTTAATCGATAACGTCTCGGAATTGTTAACAATAGAGCCGAATTCCTATTCCATTTGAATTCATTATAATCATTTGTACACAAAGAAGCACGGTGGCACAATAGCGGCTCAGATTGGGGATTCGGAGAACATAATCCATTACATTCAATACCCCCGCCAAAGTGGTTTCTCTGGTCTGGCAACTAGTCTTAGAGAAGGACAACTCTGAATTCAAAACCTGCAGACAAGGTCTCTGTATTTCTTCAAAAAGTGTGTTTTGTTCTGCAAAGCCTTCATCACTATGCAGGTGTTTGTTTGTCGATTTCTAGGAACTGAGTTGCTTGACCCTAATACGTCGAAATCGACGGGAGAGTCCAGTGGGAAATGTATGAATGCACGTCTTCTCCCCAACTATAGGTTAATTAGGATGACTTTTATAGCTAAACAATTATTACCTCCAACCAATAGGAAAAACAAAAACAAAAATGTTTTCTGGCTTTAAATAACCAGCAATGAGTTAATAAGCCGTGGAAAACGAACGAATTGATCAGAACAAACGCTTTACTATATGCCGAGTGCCATGGATAAATTGTCGTCTAAATGACGCAAAAGTGTAAGTAAAACTGACATATCATTTTAATAGATATATTTACCAAAATTACACAAGAATATCTTGAAATACTAAAGAGTAAATGTATTTAATAAAATCACCAGTGCCTTTAATCTCCTGCATCTCTTCTGGACGGTCTCCTTGTTTAAGTTCAATGCTGACATAATTCTTGCCTTCAGTTCATTTTTGATTTGAAAAGATGTTTTGTTGTTCTTTCGCTCAACTATTCCCTACACATTATAATCAAGGGGATTGCTGTCTGGGGAATTATGTGACCAGATGTAAGGGGTAAATTGTTTGACAGCCATGACTGGATTCTCCTGCTTGTGTGGCATGGTGCAGAGTCCTGTTGCTAGACATGGGTTTTTCCAGCATCCACCTTCTTGACCCAGGGCAGCACTACCTCCTCAAAGCACTTGTAGATCTCCGTTTTGAGGCCTTGTGGAAGATGAATAGATGCATCGCATCGTGATCACCCCAAACACTTTCGTAATCACAATTAGACTGATCCAACACTTTCCCAATTCTCTGCACTGACCCCAGAATGACATCCATAAATGTTCGTATTGGAGATTTCGGTGCGAATGCCAAGCAGTACAATATGCCATTTTTAAATTTCAGGCAGATTGAAAGTCGTCAGTGTGCTCTTTTTCTCTGTTTCTATACTGTGCAGTCGACAAAATAAAAAACAAACAAACGGCTATGCGCGAAATGTTAAAAAGATAACATGACGATAATTTACCCATCGCACCCTGTAGGAAAAAAGGGTCAGTTGAATACTTTCTGTTGCAGAATTTATTTCGCTCACTGGACATATGGCACAGTGGATAAAGGCGTTGGGTAGATCCAGTGACAGGACCCAAAGTGTGTGAGTTCAATACCTGGTTAAGGCAGTGGAGAACTTAATTAACAGGAGATAACTGACATCCATTAGACATGATACGTGGAACTAGAACAGTCTATCCCCAACCACCTGAAGAAGGCCGGAGCGTACAATGGCAGAAACGTTGTGATAAATATGGCAACAAAGATGAGGACAATAGTCCGAATAATATAAGTAGTGTTCTTCATCCTGTTTTATTACTAATTCGGATGCTTCGCCCGCTCGCTATCACTTCGCAAAGTAAGATATATTCACTACTTGAAATATTTGAAACAAACATTTTAAATGAACATTTCATTCAGAAATTGCCTTGTTATAGTTGTGGAAAGTTTTGCGAATAGATGCCAACTTGTTCAAGGATAAGTAAAATACATATTTCAAACACTTTTTCTTATTTCCTTTATAAGACAATATTTATAAATAGAACAATTCATGATATAAAAATCAAAACAATCTTTGAATAAAAGGACATTAATGAAGGACAGTTAATTAATGAAAGATAATTTTTAAACCAATATATTAATTAGTTAAACCGTAGAAGTAGATAATATATAATACAAATATTGAGAGTTTAGTGTGTAAATTCCTCTTTTGGGGTAATTTCACGTTTATTATCATCTCTCAGTTGCGTCTCTAGGACAGAGTGCGCTCAGGGGCGATTCCGTCAAAGGACAGATTTGCAACTGGGAAAATGATACTGAGAGGTGCCTGGCCCTGGGGAACAGCTGCCTGAGGCCGCGCCCTCCCATTGCACAAAAGGGAGGGATCGGTTCTCGTACCGAGGCCAGCGCAACCGACGGTTGCGGGGACTAAGGGGAATTTTCGTCCCTGCCCGAGTGTACGCGCTCGGGTCCCCACATTAATCCGACCTTGTGTCACATCTCGTTCTCGTGGAGGAATGAGTAAACACCGTGTAAATTCCACTTTTAGGGTAATTTCACGTTTTCTTATTATCTCTCAGTTGCGTCTCTGTCCTTGGACAGAGTGCGCTCAGGGGCGACTCCGTCAAAGGACAGAGTCGCAACTGTGAAAGTTATACCGAGAGATGCCTGGCCCTGGGGAACAGCTGCCCGAGGCCTTTCCTTCTCATTTCACTAGAGAGAAGGATCGGTGCACGTGCCGAGGCCAGCGCAAACGACGGTTGTGGGGGCTCGGGGAAATTTTGTTCCTTGCCCGGGTGTACGCGCTCGGGTTCCCCACATTAAACCGACCTTGTGTTCCAACCTGACCTCGTGGGGGATCAAGTTAATACCGTGTAAATTACTATAAAGTAGAGATGATTCTTTCTTTTTTAACACTAGAATTCGTGGGATAATAGAGCTGGAATTTCTCATTTATTTATATTGATTCCATAATGTAGGTTTTACTTAATTAGATATTATGTTTCTCTAACTCTACAAATGTTGAATGTATAACTATTTCTATTTTCCCGTCTTTACACTATATTAATTTTATCTTATAAATTGTCACTTGTTCTGTCACCCATGAAATAAATGTAAGTGTTTATACGGAAAATAAGGATCTACGTACATCAAGTCGGCTTTAAGTGGTAGCAGAAGAATTATCGTTAAACTTTTAAAAGATAAGCTTAAACATTAATTCAATACTTAAATGCAGCGATCAATTTTGAGTTCTTCTGTAGTTTATTGATGCCTATCGCATCTACTCCATCTTAGCTCTTGTGATGACGACCAAACCAAAATTCCTTCACCGGGGCTAGTTTAATCTAGTTTATAATAAAACGTGCCCTGCAATTTGGGTACAAAAGGAAAATAAGAGTTACCGCACTTGAAGAAAGAAAGCAAGGATACTGGCTAGTATAATATATTAATATATATATATATTAAACTCGCATAAACTTGCAACCCTGAATCTGAGCTCAACGAAAATCGTTCCCTGCGCCTAACTTTTCTAGGGCTTTTGAATGCGCTATGAATCATTGAAATCAGACCAGTGGGAGTGGAGGAGTTGCTTGGACATACACACACACACACACACACACACACACACTCACGCACGCACACACATACACTGTAGTTTATATATAAGATGTCTACATACATTTTTTCTTTGTAATTTCTATTCTTTCATTTTTTTTCTTAATTTCTTTTCTCTTAATATTTTCCTTTCACTGTTCTTTGTTTAATTTCTTTTTACATCTCCTAATTTTTCTTTCCTTTTTTTCTTTCTTTCATTCCTTTATCTTTCAATCATTTTCATTGATAATCCACATCTTTCTCATAATTTATGTCCAAGTCTCTTTCATTTATTTTCTGTTTGATCATCATTTAATGTTCCAATTATATTTCATGCTTTCTCTCAACACTTTCAATCGGGAACTTTCATTTTTTTTTTGACATTCACAATTTTATTCCATCCATCTATTCATCCATCCTTTTTTTCTTCATACACGCATTCAATCCTTGTTTTCTTATTTCCTTAATTCTTTCATTCAAACATTCCAAACATCATTCATTCAAATTGTCCTTCTTCTCTTTATTCAAAACTTCTTTTTTTCCTTCATTCAAACTACATTCATTGAATCATTCCTTCGTTCCTTTAGTCATTTATAAATTCAATTCTACCATTCTTCCTTCATTCCATACGAGAGTGGATATCATATATTTTTGCCAAAGGACTCCTTTTCCACAAGTGTCAGAATCATATAACCCCATTTTGAAAGGTTGTCTAAATTAAAAGATTCTTTATTTTCCTTCCATTTTTCTCTCATTCATTTGTGCTTGAAGAACTCTCTTTTATTCAGTCACCCTGCAAGTTCTTTCTATTCATTCACTTCTGCCCTCATTCATTGTCAGATATAAAAAAAAATTCAAGTCCATTCTATTTAACGAACATTAGTATATTTTTTCAGTCAGCTTGCAATGTTTCTATTCATTCGTTTTTTTCTCTCTCTCTCTCATTCCTTGTCAGGTATAAAAAAAAAATTGAAGGTCTTTTTGCTTAACGATCTTTTCTGTTTTTTATTCAGTCAGCCTGCAAGATCTTTTCATTCATTCGTTTTTTCTCATATACTTTACTTCTTTTCTTCTTTTCTTCCGTTTCTCTCTTCATTCTTTTCTTTTATGCATGTCTTTTATTCATGTTGTTTTCTATATTCCTTACTTCTTTTTTTTATCTTCTTTCTTTCATTCTTTCTTTCTTTCATTCTTTCTTTCTTTCATGCATTTTATTCTCTTTGCAATCATGTTATTCTATTCTTTGTTTCCTTCATTCATTTTCACCCCATTTTCATTATTTCTTTTTTCTTTCTTATTTGATTCTGTTTCAATCCATTTCATTCCTTTTTATTTCGCTTTTATTTCAATCATTTTAATTGCTATTTTTATTATTTCCTTCCTCTTTTTCTTTCTTCATTTATTCGTTTTCTTTCCGGTTGCAGTCATTCCATTCATTTATATCTTTATTTTCCTTCCATTTTTCTTCCATTCATTTGCGCTGCAAGTTCTTTCTCTTCGTTCTATTTTTCTCTCATTCCTTCTCAGGTATAAAAAGAATTCAAGTTCTTTCTGCTTAACGAACTTTTCTGTCTCTTATTCAGTCAGCTTTCAAGTTGTTTCCATTCATTAGTTTCATTCTCTCATTCCTTGTCAGGCATTAAAATTCACGTATTCTCGTTAACGATCTTTCCTGTCTATTATTTAGTTAGCGCGCAAATTCTTTCTATTCATTCGTTTATTTTTTCTCATACCTTGTCAATTATAAAAAAAATTCAAGTCATTTCTGTTTAACGAACTTTTCTGTCTTTTATTCACTCAGCCTACAAGTTCTTTCGATTCATTCGTTTTTTCTCTCATTTCTTTTCAACTATAAAAAAATTCATGTTCATTCTGTTTAACGAATATTACTATCTTTTTTTTCAGTGAAGTCAGCACGTTCTTTCTATTTAATCGTTTTTTCTCTCATTTCTTTTCAACTATAAAAAAAATTCATGTTCATTCTGTTTAACGAATATTACTATCTTTTTTTTCAGTGAAGTCAGCACGTTCTTTCTATTTAATCGTTTTTTCTCTCATTTCTTTTCAACTATAAAAAAATTCATGTTCATTCTGTTTAACGAATATTACTATCTTTTTTTTTCAGTCAGACAGCACGTTCTTTCTATTTAATCGTTTTTTCTCTCATTCCTTTTCAGGTATAAAAAATTCATGTTCATTCTGTTTAACGAATATTACTATCTTTTTTTTTCAGTCAGACAGCACGTTCTTTCTATTTAATCGTTTTTTCTCTCATTTCTTTTCAACTATAAAAAAATTCATGTTCATTCTGTTTAACGAATATTACTATCTTTTTTTCAGTGAAGTCAGCACGTTCTTTCTATTCATTCGTTTTTTCTCTCATTCCTTGCCAGTTATTAAAATTGAATTTATTTCTCTAGAACGAACTTTCATGTTCTTTTTTTCTCACATTCCTTACTTCTTTCCTTCCTTTTTCCTTTCTTTGTTACTTTGTTTCTTTCTTTCTATCTTTTATGTATCTTTTATTCATGCTATGTTCTATATTCCTTATTGTCTTCCTTCCTTCTTTCATTCATTCTTTCTTTCTTTCTAATTTCATGCATATTCATCTCTTCGCAATCATTTATTCTATTGTTTTTTCCTTCAATCTATTTTCATTATTTCCTTCTCTTTCTTATTTCATTCAATTAGAATCTGTTTGGATCCATTTCAATCCCTTCTTTTTTTCATTTTTATTTCATTCATTTTAATTACTATTTTTATCATTTTCTTCCTTTTTTTTCTTTCTTCTTTTACCCGTTTTCATTCAGATTGCAGTCGTATCATTCTTTTATATATTTCATTTATTTTCTGTCCTATTTTTCTGTCCTTTCTTTCGTTCCATTTCTTTCATTTCTTTTTTATCTATTTCATTCATTTTCTTTCCTAATTTCATTATTTCAATTTCTTTCTTTTTCTTTATTCATTTGCTTTCCTATTTTTATTATTTCCTTCTTTCTTCGTTCTTCCATTCATTTTCCTTCCTATTTTCATTATTTCCTTTCATTTTATTTCTTTCTTCCTTCATTCAATTTCCTTTTTATTAATATTATGGCTTCTCGTTTTTTCATTCTTTTATCTATTATTCATTTTCGACCAGATTGCATTCATTTTATTCTTTCAATCAATTTATTTCATTCTTTTTTTTTCTTTCATTCATCTTCAGTCTATTTTTAGGATTTTTTTCTTTCCTTCTTTAACTATATTCTTTCATTCATTTTCTGATCTGTATTTTATTTATTTCTTTTTTATTCACACTCAGTCAATTTTTCACTATTTATTTTCATTTATTTTTATATTTATTTAATTTCATTCCCATTTTTTCAATGCTTTTTTCATTCATTCATTTACTCATTCATTTCTTCATTCATTTATTTTTAATTACACCGTCTTAATTTAATGTCTCAATTTTTTCTTAATTTCCTTCTTTGATTCATTCTTAATCAGTCATGCGTACTTTCCTTCCTTTTCATCTCTGTTTTTCTCTCTTTTAAATTCTATCCTTTTCTTGTTTCTTTCATCTCTTTCTCTGAGCAAGAGCAGGTTGAAATCAGATGTGAAACAATCCCATTGATGACGGCAAAGGTGCAAACACACTCGACCGACTGACTGCCGGCGCACTAGGTCGGCATACAAGGCTTTGTTGTGCTTCTTACTCGTATGAAGACAGGTGTTGGGCTTGATGATCGCTCTGCACTCTGCAGACCTCGTCTCAGCTCAAATGTAAGAATACATTCACACGCGCACACACGTGCAGACAAAACGATACGCACAATACACACAATGGAAGATGCTCTAATATGTAGACATGCTAAGCGAGATGAAGATAAATTAAAAAATGATGAAAAGTTCTCAGTCCAACCAACATCCTAAAATCAGTATTCCAAAGGCGAACATCAGAATACAGATTTTACGAAAATAATTAAAAAGAGAGCATTGCGAGCAAACCTTTCTGATGTTGCCTTTTATAGACGCGTCGCCGAATGTGGCTAATGTTCCGACGATGAGGTTTGAATTTCATCATGGCCGATTTGTTAGGAAAAACACAATGAAGATGGTGGGAATGGAAATTTTAACCATCACGTGGCAATAGAGATAGAATTCGGAGAATGAATGGATGACTGAACCAGTGAGGGAGCTCTAGTATGTAGACATACTAATAGAGACGATGATAAATTAAGAAAAGTTCTTTTTGATCAGATATCGAATGCGATTGAACATAAAATTAATATCGAATCACAAGATAGCATCTTGGTAAAAGCATTAGTTCGTATTATTCACTTTTTTTCGTATTTTTACAATGAACCATGACCCAGGTGCATAAGTTATACTTCGTTTGTCCATTAACCTAAATCGTTTATGGCCACAGATTCTCGATTGGACTTAAATTGAGAGAGTTTCCGGATCAGTCTTTCGTACCTTGATTTGCTCACTGGTAAGGCTTTCCAGTGTGTTCGTGCAGCGTTAAAATTTTTGTTGTTTATAGCAGTGCTTGGAAGAAAAGTGTGTAGAGTGTGGTCGTTTCATCACACCACAGATGTTCCGACAGTGACCATAGCATGTGTAGCTGTTTTTGGTCCCAGTTCAACAGCCCACAAATCGACAACTACAACATTCCCCACATCCCGCGACCTTTTTTCTTTTTCAAGACGTTTAGAAAATCCAAGAGAATGTCAAGTGGTAGCTTTTCACTATCCCACAAATGAGTTCGAGGAATGCTTCCATCAGTGGAAACGACACTGGAGAAAATGTGTGGCTTCGGAAGGTGACTACTTGAAAGGAGATTAAATGCCGAATATACCACAGTTTTCTTTTTATAGCCCCAGTCCCGATACTTTTTGATCAAACATCGAATGCCGAACTGACAACATCGAATGCGATTGAAACTAAAATTAATACAGAATCATGAGACAATAGCCTCATGGATAAAAGTGTTCGTTCGTAAATTTGGTAATATAAAAAAAAATTGAATTCTAATTCAGATCGAATGAGCTAAGATTCTGTTTCAGTACAAACAGAACGAACAATAACCTAGGAATATTAAAAAGAACCAGACAAGATATCTCCAGATATGAACAGAGGAACCGAAACAAACTCCGCAGATTAAATGTAAGGTTCAGTTTTGAAATTGGAAGAATATTCATAAATTACAACATAAATCTGTTATGAAATCACTACAAAACTAGCCATTTTGTTTCAACACTTCTGGTGTCTTATCAAGTGATGATGCTGAATATATATATATATATATATATATATATATATATATATATATATATTATAATTTTTACATACGGACAAAAACAACTTATTCACTACAAAGATGCATACTTGTTTCGATGAGGCTGCATCTCAACTGATGAGAACCCAAAATGGTCATGAACAATTCTATTTAAAAGCAAGCCACTTATGGAAATAAAAACATTGGGAGAGACACCATAAGAGGAAACGGAGATGGATAAAGAAAAGAGGCTGACAGAGTAAGATAATATTATTTGTTGATAGCAGTTTGGACGGTGAAGTAATATTGAGGCGTTAAGACAAGGGCCTGACCCTAAAAGTTTAAAACGAAGAGGAAGTGTCCGCTACAGATTAAATATAAGGTTCAGTTCGAAATTGGAAGAATATTACATGGTTCAATACATACACCATTGTGCAAATTAAATGAAACATAACGAATATTTCCGTTATTTTTTTTTCTCGCATTTTTTTCCAATGAAACATGACCACGTGCACATGTCAGGAATTTCGTATGTCCATTTCACGAAGTCGTTCCTTCCAGATTGACCACAGATTCTCAATTGGATTTTAATCAGGAGAGATTTCGGACCAGTCTGTGGTACTTTGATTTGCTCACTGGTAAAACTTGGCAGTGGGTTCGTGCAGCGTTACAACTTTCGCAGACTTCCTTGGAGTAACGTCCATCGCAGACAATTGCCATAAAACAACTAATCGACAGTCGACACAATAATGTCTGAGCGTGATAAAAAAATTTGATACTGTAAGTTCTACTGCATTTCTACAAAAATTACAAAAATATATTTCCAGACACACATGTGAAAACATTCTAATAATGGCAAGGACTTAACAAAATATGTAATCGTTGTTTATAGCATGTGTAAACTAGTGTTAATATAATATTTCTGTAGTATTCAAAGTTTAATAAAACAAAATTTTATTTACATTATTTACACTGTTTGGATTGTTGTCCTTATCTTTATTGTCATATTCACGACACTAATAGTGATGAGGACAACGGTCCGAACAATGTAAATAATTACAATACCTCATCTCACAAATACCGACAGATGACAAACTATTTCAATAATTTCTTAATAACTCATTAATATTAACACCGGCATTCTTTAGGACAGATCTGTCAGTTAACTTCGTTAATACTTGGTTAAACAAAACAAAAGAACAAAAGCCCAGTACCAAAACGAAAGACAATCCCGCCGCACTCTACGACCAAATACCGAACACTATCCAGCCTTAGTATAAACGTAGGAAAACCAGGGCCACGAAGTCAGTCTTTTCTAGCCTTCCACCAGAATCGGGATATACTGGGCCAATTGACTCTACCCAACTAGAGAACTAGCCAGGACATCAGCCTGCAACAAAGGCCTCTCACTGCCTCTATCTCCTCTGTTCCAACGTACCGCGTGTTACGAACAGTCTAACCAAAAACAAGGTTACAGGTTTGGTTTGGTTTGGTTTGGTTTTTGTTTTACGGCATCTCAACCTCAATGGGTTATTTAAGGCCGGCAAGATTTTTTTAAAAGTTATCGATGGTAATATATTTTCTTTCTTCAAAAATGTATTGATGGTATTTTTTTCAAAATCTATTGCTGGTCATATATTGCTGGTAATAAATTTTTCTTCAAAAATTTATTGCTGCTAATAATTTTTACAAAAATATATTGGTGGTATTAAAGTCTATTCTTCATTTTCATAGTGTTTTGACCCCAGTTAAGGGGGCTAACTATTTGCCCATAGCTGGGGCCCTAACATGTGCTACCACCTCGGATCAGGGTTGACCTGGAAACACCAGCAATTAAGAGGTGGTTCCACGCTTTTCAAAACCTCCTGATCGGAGGTCTTTCAGTTAAATGTAGTTTATCGTCTTACCCAGGACGCGGATGTAGTTTGTCGTCTTACCCAGGACTGATACGAGTTAGCATTTTTATTAAAAAAATGAACCTTTGAAAACAAGATTCACTAAGTGTTCATTCATTTTAAAGTTAAAACCCGACGTCAATACTGGTGACACCAGGGTGACAGGGAAATCCCGATATAAAAATGAATTATCTTTGCAGAAAAAAAATTTACACGAGCACAAGATGATATAGAAATACTGAACTGATTTGAAATGATCGGTGCTCAAATATATATATTTTTTGGGTATGATAGATGTGAGATTAGTTTTATAGTTATTAAATATACACTATCACAACCCATATGTTTGCATGTGGCCGAGAGGTCAGACGTTCGCATCTTTGGAAAGTGACTGAAAACCATACAACGGGTTGACCCAAGCCTAGTGAGTGAAATTGGGCCGACGATAGCTGTACTAGAACAAAATCACAAGTCATCGTGGCCGAGAGCTTGAGGGTACTGGTTTTGTTTAATTTGTTGATCATTCTATATAACACTCTCTTTCTCAGAAACTCAGCATATTTACAGTATAATAAACAAAATTGCACCTGAGCAAGCGTCTGCAATAGGGATTGGCTAGTCGCCCTAGTAGACAGGTATCCTCGAATACGAGTGGCCAGCTATACCCTCATTCCATAATTACAACATATTAATAGATTTGGGAAAATATATTTAAAGTTTGACATGTGAAAACATTCTGAGGATAGTAAAGAGTTAAGAACATATGCCGTCATCGGCAGCCACCGATCTTTCGTAAAAATTCGGCCAGTGCCTGTGTCTTGGAGAGGAAACATCGTCAGCGTTCTGTTCTGCAGATACGAGACTTGGAGCCTCTACTCCAGACAGGAACGACTCCTCGGCATCTTTCAGTTGCGCTGACTGAGACCCATTCAGGGCATCAATTGGTTCGTCGGGTCACCAATGCACTAGTTCTAACCCGTGCCCTGTTACCCAGCCTACACTTTCTTTCTCAAACAGCACAGTCCCTGCTCGCTTGGGCATGTGCACCGTATGGCGGATGGGAGGATTCCGAAGAGGGTAGGTCGGTGAACTCATCTTCGATTCGATGCAAAAGTGACATGAATGTTATGGGCATGTACATCAAGAGATGGGAAGGCGTTACAAACGATCACTCACACTTGAGATGCGATTTACACTGAGGGCTGGAGCAAAGAAACAGCTGAAGTGATGTCGGGAAAGGAGATGTTTAAACGCATTCGTTGCAATAGAGACTGGCATGTTGGAAGTTTTGGGTACACTGATGTACTAGTGAGCCAGCCAAAATGAGCTGACTCATTTTATAGTTCACCAATAGAAAGCTTAACCAATCAGAAGGGTCAAAATATTCAATGCGATGTGTATAAAGGCGGCCATGTTTTTTTCCGAATATTTACTGACAGCCAGCCTTTGATATCGAAGACTGAAGAATTACGGAACAGCTGCTGGTGGTATTG